CCACCTCAGTCGGGATGGGGCTTCCCCCTCCCTCCCCTTCCTTCCACCTTCTCCCCTTTCCCGATTACCCCCCTTCCCCCCCCAATCTGCCCCAAAATCCGCCCTACTGGGCTCTCGGCTGGCCAATGATCGCCAAGGCTGAGCGGGTGTGCCCAACCCTCTTCCACCCCATTATCCGACCACATCCAACATTCCTCCTCCTGCTCCTCCTCCCCCTGCTCCTCCTCCTATTCCTCATCACCATCATCAGCATCCGCATCAGCATCAGCATCATCATCATCATCATCAGCAGCAGCAGCAGCATCAGCATCAGCAGCAGCATCCTCATCCTCATCCTCAGCATCAACCTCCTCATCATCATCATCATCATCATCATCATCATCATCATCATCATCATCATCATCATCATCATCCTGATCATCGGCATCATCATCATCAGCAGCAGCATCAGCATCGTCGTCATCATCATCATCGTCATCATCGGCACCATCATCATCAGCAGCAGCATCATCATCATCATTTTCATCATCATCCTCATGCTCATCCTCATCCTGCTCAACCTCAAACCCTTGCATCCCCCTGTCGCACTCTGAGGCCAGTCAAAAGAGCGGGCCAGGCGTTTCGCCTGAGACTTCCTCCTGGAACTGAAATCCTGCAACAGCTTCATGGATGGAGAGCGGGTCGCTTTCAAAATGTGGCTCTCGCCTGAGCGCCGCGCACGATCGTCTTGAAGTTTGCAAGAGTTCAACGGATGTAGGGTAGTCCGCTTTCAAAACGTAGCTCTAGCCGTAGCGCCGCGACCAATGTATTAAACATGTCCAAGAGCTTCACGGATGCAGGGCTGTCCGCTTTCAAAATGTGGCTCTCGCCTTAGCGCCGCGCATCTTCGTCTCAACAGTTTGAAAGGCGTTTAACCTACGGAGGTGGGCCCGCTTTCAAAATATAGCTCTCGCTCTAGCGCTGCGCACATTCGCCTTGAGAGTTTACAACAGCTTCACGGATTATCATGTTTAACGCCCCAAAAATCGTTATTTGGGCACGTTTCGGACTGTCAGGGAGCAGCAATTACGTTGATTCACGGTGTCGAAATCCCAAGAACTGCGATCTGGCACGACTCAAGATCGTCGAGACGCAACCGTAAAAAATTGGCTCGCGGCGTTGAAGTCCCAGGTATTATGTTCAGGTCTGGATGGTCAAACGGTTGCTTTCCAACGGGGCACCTCCTTCAGTGAAAATCAACCCTTGTAGGGGCCTATGAAAAGGGGATCTTAGAGGGAGGGTGTATTGCAATATCGTCGATGGGTCTTGGGGTTATGCTGGTCCTCATCCTCCTCATACTCCTAGCCTTCGGCTGGCTGGCGACCAGGCCGGCTTGGCGAAAGCGACTGCCATTCGTCCTGCCCATCCTCGTACCTTCTACATCCTATATCCTCCGTCCCTCCTCCTCCGCCATCCTCCTATTATTCCGCGGTCCTCGTTTTTCCAACTTCCCGTCTTCCTCATCCTCCCCCCCTTCCTCCTTCTCCTGCTCCTACTACTCCTCCCCTTCACCGTCCTCCGCTTTCTTCTCGCCCTCCTCCTCGGGAGTAGCGACCGACAACGATCGCGAGGCGACCGCGAAGCGAGCAAGACCCCGCTGAGACCGCGTCCTGCCGCGAAGCGCTGCGCACCAGGCCCTGCTTGCGGGGGGGGGCACTGGAGACGCCATCATGGGGGGGGGGTAGACCCTTGCTCCCTCACTCCTCCTAAGGCCCCTCATCATCATCATCATCATCATCATCATCATCATCATCATCATCATCATCACCACCACCACCACCATCATCATCATCATCATCATCATCATCATCATCATCATCATCATCATCATCATCCTCTTCCTCCTCCTCCTCTTCCTCCTCCTCTCCTCCTCCTCCTCCTCCTCCTCCTCCTCCTCCTACTCCTCCGCCGTTTCCTCCTCCTCCTCCTCATTTACGCTAGACCGGCATTCGGTGCGAGCCTGTTGCGCTTGTGGGATGCAGCATGTCGAAAGAAACGAACGACCCAGGTCAACAAAAAAATGCCTGGCGGGCGCTGCGAAAAATCAAGCAAATAGATACGAAGCAAAAAGTACCTTCAAGAGCAGGCGCCCGCCAGGCTTTCGAGGTAAGCTAATCGTGAAGCCTCATCCACCTCCTGTCGCGTAGTGAAGCAAAAAAACGTTTGATCGAAGTTAGCCTCCTCGGTGGAAAAAAACGATAAGGTGCAAGGAGCTACACCGAGCAGCAAGTACATGAAGTGACGTGCTCAAGAATGTCCGCCCAACCCACCCATCAGATGCATCGCCACCCACACCTCCCCCATATGTGACGTCCTAAATGGGCAGACTCCGCACGTGTGGACCTGTAAAAGTGAATGGGATTGCTGTTCTGCTGCTGCGCAGAAGTAAATGTCCAAAGTGCTGCTGCCTGGCTGTGTCCGAAGCTGCATGTGAGATACTTCGTAGCTTATCTAAGCCCGAAAAACATGTTTTGCTGGCTGGCCACGTTGTGGCATCGGCGGATGTCTTACTTGAAAGTGTTGCACTGACGCTTCGAAATACCCCCAGCCCTGGCGCCTCCTCACCTCCTCCCAAGAAACACCTCCCCTCTGTCGCACGGATGACTGCGAGTACTCGAACAACTGGTGCTGCCTGGCTGTGTCCGAGGCTGCTTGTACGACTTCGACGCTTATTGCAATGAGTGTACTGGAAAAGACCCTGTCGCCCAAGTGCTGCTGTCTGGCAATGTCCGAAGCTGATGTGTGAGACAGCGAAGCTTATGTGAGCCGCTAGCATCTATCCTGCTGGCTGGCCACGGCATCGCAACTGCACGGGCTGCCTGGCTTAAATTGAAGTGTTGCAATGGAGGATTAGTGGTTCTCTCCCCATAACTAACCGCGCTCATACGCCATGTCAAAGAATGTCCGATCCTGGGGCCGCTACCCAGGGCTTTATAAGGTAACCCCACACCCGCAGAGCGCGCATCTGCCGCCCAACCACCACCATAGCTGAATGTGATGATGGTGTCTCTAGGGGTTCGATGATGGAAGCATCCTGTATCAGAAGCCAAGGTAACAAAATAGGAAGAAAGTTGAACAGACTGCTTCCAAACCTGCGTGTGCATGGCAAGCATGAAAGGATAGAACAGTGAGGTGAGGTAGAGCGCGTGATACTGCTGAGGAGCTGCTAGCACACTAGGGCTGGGAGCATGCAGCCATCGATGCGTACTGAGCAAGCGGCTGTCGCCGAAGTATTGATGTCTGGTTGTGTCCGAGACTCCATGGGCAATGCATAAACTTGACTGGGTCCTGTAATACAAGGAGCATGTGTGAGTGGCTGGCGCATGTCTTGCTGGCTGGCCACGTACGTCAGAAGAAGCATCGGTTTAGTATGCTGAGAGATGCTGAGCAATCTTAGATAAGATAGTGTGCGACTCTAGGGCCACCAAACCTGCAGAGGTCGCATCTCCCCGGTTGTCATCCACCTCGCTCCACTACCCTCCCCAGCTTCTTAGTGTTCTGATTGGCTTGCCGTCCAAGTTGAAAATAGGTAACGCACGCCAAAAAAAGTGAACGTGTCAACTCTTGGGATGCAGCCCAAGGTTTTTTGGGTTTTTGCCCCGAACCACCTCTGAACGCGGGCCCACGTGCTGTTTGTATTATCTTCTCGGGTTTAGCACGAGCCCTTGTAGTCAATATTGGCTTAAGCACCGATGGGCTGGCCCCAAGAGCAGGCTTGCCGTGCGGCTGGCCTGTGGATGCAGGCCGGCCACACGTCTGAAAGAGGGGTGAGGAGGTGAGGATCGGCAGTGTGGCCGAACGGATGGATGCGCAGGACTGGGCAAGACGCTGGCGGCAGCTTGCTGTGCAATGAAGCGCAAGACCGTGGAACAAGTATATCGACGACAAGGGAGGACAAAGGACGTCTCGAAGAAGTGGGGTGGGGTAAGACTTTAGAGCGGCAGCTCGCCGTGCAATAAAAGGTCGGCCTCGGGCGTCTGTCCGCTGCGCGTGCGGAATCAACGAGGCCTGTAAGGGACTTGCGCAGTCCTGGGGCTGCGACCCAGGATTCTGTAGGATACCCCTGAACCTGTGAGAGAATGAGCCGCCAAGCGCATCGGAAAAAAACGCGGAAGCGGAAAGGAGGGCGTGCAGCAAGACAGTGGAACACCCTCCTCCTCCTCCTCCTCCTCCTCCTCCTCCGCCTCCCTCTCGGTCTCCTCGTCCTCCCCATCCTCCTCATCATATACCCCTCCTTCCTTACAGGTACCTCATCGCTGCCGCACCATAGGATGGTGGATGGTTGAAACATGCATGGCTCTCGCCGTAGCGCCGAGTGCATCTTTACTGAAAGTTTGCAACAGCTTCACAGATGGAGGACAAGTGGCTTTCAAAATGGGGCGCTCGCCACTGCCGCGCACACTTGCCCTAAAAGTTCACAACGGCGTAAATGATGCAGGGCGGTTCCGTTTCAAGGAATCAAGGTTGCGACAGTTTCAGGGTTCGTCTGCCCGAAATGTCAGGAATGGTGCTCTGGCATGATTGGGGATTGTCCGGAAGCAACCCTCACGTTGATTCTCGGAGTTGAGGTCCCAGGGGTGTCGTTCTGGTATGATGTAGGGTTTTCAGGACGCAACCGTCACATTGATCCACGGCGTTGAAGTCCCACGAAGTGCTTTTTGGCACGTTTGAGGATTACCAGACTGTTGTCGCATTCTGGGCCACGTGTAGGGGCCTCTGGAGAGGGAATTCGAAAAGAGTGTGGATTGCAACATCGTTTATACGCAGCGGGTTTACACTGGTCCTCCTCATCCTCATCCTTCGCATCCTCTTCCATCTCCACCTTCTCCCCCCCCTCTCATCACATAAACACCATCACCACCATCATCCTCATCATCCTCCTCATCATCATCGTCATCCTCCCCCTCCGTCTCGTCAGCCGCATTCTCCTCCTCCTCCTCCTCCTCCTCCTCCTCCTCCTCCTCCTCATCCTCATCCTCATCCTCATCATCATCATCATCATCATCATCATCATCATCATCATCATCATCATCATCATCAGCATCATCATCATCATCATCATCATCATCATCATCATCATCATCATCATCATCATCATCATCGTCAGCAGCCGCAGCATCGTCCTCATCATCACCACCACCACCATCATCATCAGCATCAGCATCAACAGCAGCATCATTATCGGCCTCATCATCACCATCATCATTATAAGCAGCAGCAGCATCATAATTATCAGCATCGTCAGCATCATCATCAGCAGCATCATCATCGTCGTCGTCATCGTCATCAGCATCAGCCTCATCATCAGCAGCAGCATAATCATCAGCAGCAGCAGCAGCAGCATCAGCATCAGCATCATCAGCAGCATTATCAGCAGCAGCAGCCTCAGCATCAGGAGCAGCATCGCCATCAACATCACCCTCATCTGTATCAGTATCGTCATCATCATCCTCGACCACGTCCTCATCGTCGTCTTCGTCATGGTCATCATGATTAGCATCATCATCAGCAGCAGCAGCAGCAGCATCACCATCATCATCAGATCATCATCAGCGTCAACATCAGTGGCATCACCATCACCATCACCGCCATCACCATTATCATAAGTATCAGCATCATCATCATAATCAACAGTATCATCATCATCATCATCATCATCATCATCATCATCATCATCATCATCATCATCATCATCAACATGATCGTCAGCATCAACATCGTCATCAACATCGTCGTCATCACCATCAAAACAACAGCAACAATAATCATGTTAAGACTGATCGCTTGTATCTGCTTGCGCGCTATTCAACACGTATATCCCAAACCCTCGATACCCGCTCTCTTCGTCTGCGATCGTACTCCCTCGGAGGTATATCTTCTGTCTTACCTGCAACGTGTATTTCGTGCAGCCCCTGAGACAAGGGAAGGGAGGACGGGTGGAAGGACCGGACAAGGGCGAGGAAGGAGGATGGAGCACAAAAGAGATTAGCAGGAGGGGGGCTAGGAGCAGAAAACACGTTGTAGCATCAGACGACCAGATCGGGCGGGTAGACCCTAGAGGCGGGTCGGGAAGGCGGGCCCAGGCGGCCAGGTCGATCAGGCGGTTTGCTGAAGCGTGCGTCCTGCATGAATCGCGAGGGAGTCTCAAAAGATAGCGCGATTTACAAGTAAATCATGAAGAAAAACCACAGCGAGAGCGTGGCTCCTGAGTGTCGAGGGCGTGGCGTCTGAATTAAGTGCGAAGGAGTCCCACACGAGAGCGCGATTCCAGCATAAATTGTGAGGAAGTCCCGCGCGAGAGCGCAATTTGGGAATAAGTGGTGAGGAAATATCTGGCGTGAGTCGTTGTTGTTGTTGTAAACCAGGGGCCAGGGGGCCAGTTTGGCGACGCCCCACTTCCCCCTTGTAAAACGAAGGAACGAGCCCCAGGAGGAGCACTTTAATTGAAGGATACTATGGTCACTGGAGAGGGATCAACAGTGATTATTCTCTGGAAACAAGAGCTCAACATCAGCATCACCATCAGCATTCTCATCATCAGTCCCAACCATCAATTGGGCTAATGCTTTGACTGCCGCATCGCGGTCTCGACTTATCATCCCGCCTCCACATCCCGTCCTTCGTATTATGTCGTCTAGCCCCTGTCTGCTTCCTACATGCCTACCTCATCCTGCCTGGTCTCTCCTACATCGCCATCCTTGGGGGGGCTGCGAACTACGGCGAAACTGTCGCCACGTTCGAGGGTTGCTGCGAGGCCCGAGGCACTGACGCCGCACAGGGGATTCAGATTAGACCTCGCCATCCTTAGGGGGGAGGGGACTACGGACCGCGACGATGTCGTCACGTTTGAGGGCTGCTGGGGGGGGGAGCGAAATGACGCAGTACGGGGGTTCATATCAGGCCTCGCCCATCCCTGTGGGTGGGGGGCAGACAGCGAACTGCGAAACTGCCGCCAAGTTTGAGGGTTGCTGGGTGGAGGCACTGCGCAATGACGTCGCACGGGGATTCCGAACAGACCTCGGCATCCCCGCTGGGGGAACAAACGAACGAACGAACGAGCCACCACTGCGGACAGCTGTCTGGGCCTACTTAAGACCTGGTGGAGGAGGCCGTGGCCTCCTGAAACCTGTACGTATGGACTACACGCAAGCATGAATATGATCAGCGATAAAATAATCAAAACAAAAAAACAAAAAAAAAAACTGTCGAAGGACCCAACCATATGCAGTTCTGGGTACCGCAATTGTGAATATCTTCTTCGGTGAAGCTCCCTATGGGGCCACGAAACGTTGTACTGGGCGGGGGGGATGCATGCGCGCGGTAGCACTGGGGCCGTCGGTGGACTTCCATATGGAGACACAAGGCGCTGTACTGGGTGGGGGGGACGCACGCGGGCGGTAGCTCTGGGGCCGCCGGTGGAGCTCCCTATGGGGCCACGCAACGTTGTACTGGGTGGGGGGGCGCATGCGGGCGGTAGACCTGGAACACCTGGCCTGGCATAGAAACGGAAAAAGCGCTTCAGAAACAGAAACCAAAATTACTCACACCACCGTTCGCACCGGGAGCCTTGGCGTTGAGAGCTTGTTACGTCACCCCTCGCTCGCGGGAGCCTTAGTGTTCAGAGATTGTTGCGTTGCCGCCCGTTCCTGAGCCTTGGTGTCAGGAACTTGTTACGTCACCGCTCTCTGCTGGGAGCCTTGGTCTTATCAGCTTGTTTACGTCACCGTTCACTCTGGGGAGCCTTGGAGTGAAGACTTCTTGGGAGTCCTATTGCGGCCCTTTTGGAACCCTTTTGGGGGCCTCTTGGGGACCTCTTGGGGGCCTCTTGGGGTTTCTTGGGGGGCTCTTGGGGCCTCCTGGGAGCATCTTGGAGCGAAAGGCTAGACTTTTCGGTTCGTGGTCCCCCTCTTGGGGCCGTCTTGGGCGCCTCTTGGGCCGTCTTGAGGCCCTCTTGGGCCGTTTGGGAGGCCTCTTGGGAGCGTCTTGGGCCGCCTTGGGTCGGTCTTGGGGGCCTCTTGGACCGTCGTCAACGCCGTGAAAGCCGAAAAGCCGTGTCTGCTAAAAAAATACCTTTTCCCTTAGGAAATCCATGATTTGGGTCTCCTGGTGGCCCCTTGGGACGCCACTTGGGGGCCCCTTGAGGCTTCTTGGGGGGTTCTTGGGGCCTCCTGGGAGCATGTAGCGGCGAAAAGCTAGATTTTTCGGTTCGTGGTCCTTGGGGCCGTCTTTGGCCGTCTTGGGCGCCTCTTGGACCGTCTTGGGGCCCTCTCGGGCTTCGGGAGCCTCTTGGGAGCCTCTTGGGCCGTCGTGGGGCAGCGATCTTGGGGGCCTCTTGGGCCGTCGTCAACGACGTGAAAGCCGAAAAGCCGTATATGCTAAAGATGTACGTTTGCCTTTTGGAAAATCGTTGATTTAAATTTCTTGGGGCCCTCTTAGGACGCCCCTTGGGCGCCTCTTTGGGGGCCCCTTGGGGGCCTCTTGGGCCGTCTTGGGCGGTCTTAGACTCTCTTGGAACGCTCTTGGGCCGTTTTGGGGGGAACCCGAAAAACATGCAAACACCCGGGGAAAACCCGAAAACGGCCATTAAACCCATCCACTCCCCGTACACCCCCCCTGGAACACCCTTAAGGGGCTTCGCCCAAAACACAACGTCATCACTCGTACCTCGCTCTTGCCGTTATTCGGTGGAGCTCCCTATGGGGCCACGAAACGCCGAAACGCTGTACTGGGTGGGGGGGACGCACGCGGGTGGTAGACCTGGAACATTCGGTGGAGCTCCCTTTTGGGGCCACGTAACGGTGTACGGGGGGGGACGCATGCGGGCGGTAGGCCTGGGGCCTTCGGTGGAGCCCCTTTTATGGGGCCACGAAACGCTGTACTGGGTTGGGGTGACGCAAACGGGCGGTAGCACTGGGGCCGTCGGTGGAGCCCCCTATGGGGCCACAAAGCGCTGCACTGGGTGGGGGGGACGCATGCGGGCGGTAACACTGGGGCCGTCGGTGGAGCTCCATATGGGGCCACGAAGCGCTGTACTGGGTGGGGGGACGCACGCGGGCGGTAGACCTGGAACCTTCGGTGGAACTACTGGGTGGGGGGGACGCATGCGGGCGGTAGCACTGGGGCCTTCGGTGGAGCTCCCTATGGGGCCACGAATCTCTGTACTGGGTGGGTGAAACGCAGGGAGAAGGGAGGAGGGGAAGGAGTGAGGAGGGAGGAGGAAGGCGAACGCGGGGACCGTCTCTTCAAAACGAAGACCCCAACACCGCAGGACGGTTGGAAATTATGACGGAAGGGGGGATGTCCTGGATGTGGATGTCGGCGTATTGTCGTTACGTGGGGTGTACGTATTGCCGTTCGAGTGTCGACCAGGTGGAGATGTCTTGAGCTGTACGAATGCAGGTGAAGTCGTTTGGCAGGCCTTGGATGCTGGTCGGAGGAAGTTGACGACGTCGTCCTCCCAGCGTTTGCGCTGGCCGCCTTGCTGTCGCTGTCCGTGTTGGCGTGGATTCTTCTGGCTGCCAATGTAGTGCGCGCCACGTCCACCTGGTGGAGACATGGTTAGCAACCCTCGACGCCATGCGCTACGACCTCTGTCTACGAATCGTCTCCCAATTTGCGACTTGGTGGTGCTGCATTACCTGCTCTGCATGCCGTGTTGCTCGCTGAATGCATTCAATCCAGAGCTCTGGCGTGTCCTCCTTGTCGAAATGGTCGTCGTCGTCGTTGCTCTCGCTGTGCCGGTCTGCTGCGTCTTGCTGTGCTGCGTGGCTGTCTGCGTCGTCGCTGCTGTCGGTTGCGTTGGGATCGTCGCCAAGTGTTTCGTGGTCGTGCCGTCGTCCATGCCGCTTTGGTTATTGCGAGGGATTGTGCGGTGAGTCGTGCGTCGCCAAGTCGTTCTGATGATAATGCGGAGCATGCGTCGCTGCGTTCGTCGCAGGTGTTGCTGGAGAGGTTCCGTGAGCGTCCACGTCTCTGCTCCGTACAACGCCGTCGGCGTTACTGTGCTGCTGAAAAGTCGAAGTCTGTGTGCCAACGGGTAGTGCTCGCTGGTCAGTTCCTGCTCGCGTGAGGTGAATGATGTCCACGCGGCTCTCCACGCGGCTCTCCACGCGGCTCTCGTCCCGCTGGGGGGGGGCTACGAACTGCGAAACTGCCGCAACGTTCGAATGTTGCCCGGGAGGGGGGGAGCAGGGGGGGCAGCGCAGTGACCTCATACGGGGATTCTGTGAACTGCGAAACTGTCGCAACATTCAAAAGCTGCTGAGAGGGGAGGGCAGCGTAACGTAGGTACCGCACGCAGACTCAGATTAGACCTCACCATCACTCGGGGGCTGCGAACTGCGAAACTGTCGCCACGTCCGAGGGCTGCCGAGGAGGTCAGTGTAGTGGGTACCAAGCGCAGATTCCGATTAGACCTCGCCACCCCTGGTGAGCTGCTGACTGCGACGATGTCGCCACTTTCGAGGGTTGCTGTGGAACCAGCGGTGTGATGTCCTACGCGGGCTCAGGCCAGGCCGCACTGGCAAACTGGCAAACTGTCGCCACGTCCGTGGGCTCCTGAGGCGTTCAGCGGGGTGGTGTCTGAATCATGCGGATCAGATCGAGACCTCGCCGTCGCTGGGTGCTGCGGACTGCGAAACTGTCGCAACTTCCTTGGGGTACTGAGAGGTCCAGCGGGGTGCATCTCATCCAAATCGGATGAGGCCTCGCCGCCGCTGTTTCTGCGAGGTGAGAAACTGCCGCTATTGCCGCTGTTTCCTGGGAGGTCCAGCGGAGTGACGTTTTATTGAGATCCAGTGTGACTTCGCTGACGCCCCTGTCCCTCGTTCCCGCCCCCTTCCTCTCCGAGCCTGTGGCCTCACTCCTCGTCCTCCTATTGATACCATGTGAGTTGTGCAACGCGCGCGCATCACGTAGCGTGCACGACAACTGACGGCTCCTGCATTGTCGCTATCAAGACTAGGTTGGGCCAATTGCTCTGACCATGCGGTGCAAATGCAGCGGGTACGTCGCAGGGTATTCATCATTATCAGCGGCCCCATCGGCGTGAACCTCACCGTCGTCGCCACCATCGTCGTCGCCATCGTCGTCGTCAGCATCATTATCAGCATCACCATCCTCGTCATCAACAGCAACCTCATCATCGTCATCACCAGAATCGTCATTGCCACCGCCATTCCCCTGCCTGCACACCAGCCATACCTTCCCCTCGCTTCCCCTCCCTCGCCCGCTGATGTTCTCGCCCCTTCCGATACCAATCCCGCCATCCGTTCCCTCCATCCCTTACGTCCCCACCTTTCCCTCCCTCCCTACCTCACATCACCCCGTTCAATAATGCACTCCCTCCCCCCCTTCCCTGGCATACCCTCCCCTTCCAGGACAGTGCCCTCATCTCCGTTGTCCTTCGTCCCTTATCTCCCCGTTGGCATACATTCGCATCCCATCCCATCCCATCCTCTTAACAACCCCTTTACCAACATCTTCCTCATCGCGGAGAGAAGAGAAAAGGGAGCAGGGCATAGGGATGAAGACAAGGAAGGGAAGGAGGACCGAGGGGGGACGAAGGAGGGGGGAGGTGTGAAGGGGGGGGAGCTCAGGGTGGGAGGAGGGAAGGAAGAAGGGGCCCCCCAAGCCTTAAGGCAGTTGTCGCGGCGCCAACTCGCAACCCACGCCTCAGCCGACCATCCCCGATCGAGAACGTTGAAGGGTGAGGAGGGAGGAGCAAGAGGGAGGCAAGAGGATGAGGGAGGGGCGGAAATGGGAGGAGAAATTAAAGGAGGAGCAGCAGCAGCAGCAGGACAGAGAAAGCAGAGGAGGCACTGAGGGCTTGCTGGGCGCTGTCTCTCAGCAGCAGGGCATACTCCAGTAAGGGGGGCAGGAGGGTTCGGCCAGCCCCGATGGACAGTGCAGCACTGGCATGCGATTCTCCGTCGTGTGCCTGGCGAAGTGGTGGCTTAAGGAAGTATCAGAGTTCGCATAACAAGAAGGAGAAAGAAAAAGGAAGAGGAGAAGAGGGGGGTAGATGAGTGAAAAGAGAAGAAAGAGAACCAGGAGGAAGAAGAGAAGGAAGAGCAGGACCAGGATCGGGAGCATCAGAAAGAGGAGAAACAGGGAGGAGGAGGAGGAGGAGGAGGAGGAGGAGAAAAATGAGAAGAAAGAAGAGGAGAAGGAGGAGGAGGAGCAGGAAGAGGAGATCGACGAGGACGACGACGACGACGACGAGGGAGGAGGAGGAGGAAGGCGAAATGGATGAGGAGAGATGGGCAACAGGAGAAGAAAGGAGGGAAGAGGACACACGCAGCCAGCCGAAGCCATGCAACTCGACATCCAACTCGAAATTTCATCTCGCCGACCTCTCTCAGTTCGGGGGCGTTCGCCTCGCGTCTCCTCCTATCGAGGACCTGCTGCCCGATCCTCGCAGCCTCGCCGCGGGAGGTGAATCCAAGAAGGGCAAGCACCCTTACGGCAGGTTGGTGTCGTGTCGACCCCGGCGTTGGTTCCTGACACCGCGGTAATCGTTCAACCCTGAAAGATCGGCCGTTTCCGAAACGTCAGACCGTTCAACATCGACCGATTCTGGGTCGCCGGCAGCGCTCAACGTTGAACGCTGGCGGCAAAATCGCCGCCGATCGACACGACGCAAGCCTGCAGTACGAGGTCGACCCCGAACCCGTGATCAATAATGGGAGGGGGTCCACGGGGAGGCACATAATCCAGGCCTGAACTTCACGGCCACGAACTCCCGAGAGCCATCAGAAAGGGCAGCAGCCGCCCCAGCTCGCCCGCTCTGACAGGACGGACGTTTGCCACGCAAGGTCCAAGCCCATCGCCTCTCGAGGACCCCAGAGCAAGCCACCAGGCAATCCGACACCCGGGCGCTCCTGCCCCTCAGTGCCCCTGGGCGGCCGACCGAGCCGCATCTCGTGCAGAAGATGACGCGTCCTTGCGGGGGCCCATCCAGGCCGCCCACACGGGCCTCGAGGCAGACGTGGCCGCGAGGCCGCCGGGGCCTGCGGAGGCCCCACGCCTCTTCGCCTGGCGGCGGGGGGGGGCACCTTCCAAGGCGGGTCCCGACACCTCCCCCGCCCCACTCACGACGACGACCGACACGGCACGACCCACCCACCCACCTCCCTTTGGTGCGGAGCTTGGCAGCTCGTCCAGGGCCCGGACGGGGAGGAGGAAAGGCCCGAGCTCAACATGCTCGAGAAAATCGAGGGGAACATGATCGAAACATGGGCACAATGGGCTACACGGGACTCATTTCTATTGCGCTCACTTCTATATTGCTCACATTGAAATTGAACTCCAGAAGGGGCCGCACATGCAGGCACATGCCGCACGGTCGAATGCACATGCCCATGCAACTCCACAAAAGCCTCAACAGCACTGCCGCGCATGCGCGCACATGCCGCACAAAACGATGCACAGTCGGATGCACAGTAGGACATTCATCCAACAGCGCCCGCACATGCCGGGCACATGCTGCGCACATGCACGCACATGCCCGCGCAAAAACGGCCGCACATACACACCCACCTAGGGGTATAGAAATGAGTGCGGTGTACCTGGACCTCTCAACAGGCCCCGAATTTAGCAGCTTGTCTGGCAATCTCGTGGCAGCCGAGATACACAAGTCGATCGGCGGCAGCACTCCTGATCAGCTCAGCCCCCTGGCGGGCGAACTCGTCCGCCGCACGATCGCCGAGCCACTGGCAACGGGCAGGCTTGCCGTCTGAAACTTCAGTTTCCTTGCGTGGGGAGGGACGTTTACGACGGTGACCCCGTCGAGCTTACCAAAAAGTTTCGGCCCACCAGTGGGCCCGAGGGCTGCCATGGGCCGGCCGCGGGCCTGGGGTCGCGAGCGCAGTCGACGGTGCCAGTGCAGTCTGTCTGGAGCTTGCAGCCCGGAAGAAGAACAGCGTTCAACATCAGTTGGAGGACCGCGATGTACTCGCCATCTCGGGCCGCCTGAAGCGGCGCCTGGGACAGGGAGGCTGTGACCCAGCCGTCCGCCACAACCACCGCCCATCCCGCCAACCTCGAAGACGGGATGTGGCCCTCAGAGGTCGAACCGTCGGTGAAAACCTGCATCCCAGTTTACAGCACCAGTCCCTCTGCGGGCCAGTTGCGACGATGCATGTAACAGGAGGTAGGGTCTGAGAGTAGAGGGCAGAAAATCCGCCGACCCTGTCGGCATGTAGAAGCCGCTGTTCCGTTTGAGTCGTCGTCGTCGTCGTCGTCGTCGTCGTCGTCGTCGTCGTCGTCGTCGTCGTCGTCGTCGTCGTCGTCGTCGTCGTCGTCGTCGTCGTCGTGGTCGTTGTCGTCGTCGTCATCGTCGCCTTCGCCGCTCCCCTCCCCTTTCCCTAGGCCCGTCGCCGCTTCCCCCCACTTTCACCGGGCCCTCCTCCTCGAGCGCGCCAGCCACAGCGAAATTAAGCAACATTGTAGTTGAGTCGAAAGGAACCCCTTCCCTTTGATCCCTTCCACGCGGGGAGGGGATCCCGGGGAGGGTCGCCACCCAGATACGACTCCCCACCGGGGGGGTTCGGCACCCAGATACGACTCCCCCCCGGGCGGTTCGGGGACGAGAACAGCCTCAAGACGCGGCAAAAGTGCCCCAAGATGCCCCCAAGACGGTCCTCGAGGGCCCCGAATCACCGAAAAATCGGTCCAAGTCGCCAAAGTAGCCTCCGGACGGCTCAAAAGGTTTCCAAAACCCCCAAGAGGCCTCCAAGAGGACTTCCAGGAGGGCCCCAAGGGGCCAAAAGCATCGGACTCCCTGAGGCGTTTGAAATATTTCGGCATTCTCGCCTTGTCAGCTTCCCGACGCTCCAAGACAGGCCAAGAGGCCCCCAAGACCGCCCCACGATGGCCCAAGAGGCCTCCCAGAGGGCCCCAAAACGACCCAAGAGGGCCCCCAGACCGCCCAAGAGGCCTCCACGACAGCCGACGAGAGCCCCCGAGACGGCTCCCAGCAGGGAGCCGAGACGGGGGACCCGAACGGTCATTTCGAACCCTCGGCCCGAGGAGATCCCAGGAGGCCCCCCAGAGGCCCCTGAGAAGCCCCCCAAGAGGCCCAAGGGGCCCCCACGAAACCCCCAGGAAGCCCCGCGAGGCTCCCAAGCGGCCCCCAAGAGCCTCCCAAAAGGCCCCCAAACTACCCCCAAGAGGCTCCCGAGAACGCGTCGTCGTCGTCGTCGTCGTCGTCGTCGTCGTCGTCGTCGTCGTCGTCGTCGTCGTCGTCGTCGTCGTCGTCGTCGTCGTCGTCGTCGTCGTCGTCGTCGTCGTCGTCGTCGTCGTCGTCGTCGTCGTCGTCGTCGTCGTCGTCGTCGTCGTCGTCGTCGTCGTCGTCGTCGTCGTCGTCGTCGTCGTCGTCGTCGTCGTCGTCGTCGTCGTCGTCGTCGTCGTCGTCGTCGTCGTCGTCGTCGTCGTCGTCGTCGTCGTCGTCGTCGTCGTCGTCGTCGTCGTCGTCGTCGTCGTCGTCGTCGTCGTCGTCGTCGTCGTCGTCGTCGTCGTCGTCGTCGTCGTCGTCGTCGTCGTCGTCGTCGTCGTCGTCGTCGTCCGGCCCGAAGGCCTTCGCACTCCACCCCGATAAGGAGCACCCCGCCAAGCGAACCCGTTTAGGAAACGCACGCATGGAAGGAATCGAACAGCACAGGGCTGTTTAGTGAACGTCCAAGGCCGTGAAGTAGTAAGCGTAAAGCGTCGGGGTAGGCTTCGAGGGCTCGAGAGGGCTCGAGACCCCCCTTGACAGAGAGTGGTTTCCCCCCCCTTGTCGAGAGTGGTTTCCCCCCCTTGACAGAGAGAGGGCTCGAGACCCAGGCCGACGGGTCAGGTAAGAGGGCCCTGGACAAGAGGTCCTGGGCCTGGACGGACGGGCGAGCGACGGACTGGGGATGCGGCGGTCAGCTCGGGCGATAGCTCTTCGCGTCGCCCCACGGCGTGGGCAGGGCAGAAGGGAGGAGGAGGAGGAGGAGGAGGAGGAGGAGGAGGAGGAGGCGGAGGAGGAGGAGGAGGAGAAGAAGATGAGGCGGAGGAGGAGGAGGAGGAGGAGGAGGAGGCGGAGGCGGAGGCGGAGGAGGAGGAGGAGCAGGAGGAGGAGGAGGAGCAGGAGGAGCAGGAGGAGCAGGAGGAGCAGGAGGAGGAGGGTAGTGGTGCTGACCTGGACCGAGTTCGAATCGAGGTGGCGGTGGCGATGGTGGTGGCCACGATGGCAGCGCAAGCCGCCCAGCCTGGCGGAATATAAGGGCCGCGCCTGCAGGGCAGAGCGCCTCGCCGCTGCCAGGCGCTGCTCCCCCGTCGCCTGGATGGCGCGGCGCTGAAAGCAGCACCAGACTGCGGAGGCTCTCCACGCCTGGGCGACCTTCATCACGGCGGCCCTCGCCCAAAACGAGCCTGCGGCCTCGAGCAGCAACCGGCTCCGTCGGCGCCATCCGGCCAGGGGGGCCCAGTCGCGCAGAGCGCCGGAACGCCTGGCGGCGGTCAGCGCCTCCCTGGCGCCCCGCGCCGCGGAGTCCAGCAGCGCAGCCCTCCTGCCGGCTACACGCAAGGGTGAACCTAGGCAAACCCTTGGTGTGCGGCTTGCCGATCGTTGCATGCGGTGCGACGGTGGCGGACTGCGAGCATGGGTTTGGCTCCCCCGCACCCTCCGAAAGCCGTGCACCACAGGTCACTCCAGCACAGGGCCACTCTTACGTGTAGGAGATCCTGGTGGACAAGAGCCACGCTCCCAGGCACCGGCTGGCCGCGGCATTTCGCAGCGACCGCGCCGCGTCCTCGGAACGGCACCTCCTCGTGCGCCTGGTGCGGGCCTGCGCCAGCCAACGAGCGAGGCCGACGCGGCGACGGGAGGCGCCCAAGGCCTGCGCCGCGACGCAAGCCCGCCACCTCCAGCAGGCGGACGCCGCGCGCGCCTTTGCGACGCCGACCAGGACGTCAGCGAGGCGCCTGCCTGCGCGCCTGCTGGAGCTGCTTGCAGTGGCCCATGCGACCAGCAGCGAACGGCTGGCACGGCGGCGCCACAGCGCCCAGGCCTGCACCGTCAGCTGCCTCTCCCGCCGATGCCAGGCCACAGCTTGAAGCCATAGCTCGAAGTACAGCTTCACGTGGCGGAATAGCCCCTGCCGCTGAAACAGTGTGGCCGCCTGCCGGGCGCGGCCCCGTGCAGCCCGCCACCACCACAGCCTCACGGCGGTCGCCCGCCGCCGCCGAAGGCGCCAGGCGGCGCCCGCCTCCGTGGCGAGGCGGGCCTGGCGGCAGCGCCAGCAAGCTAGCAGCCAGTGGGCGAGCACGCTGTTTGCCAGACGGGCGGCGCGGTACTCGCGGCCGAGCGCCTCGCGACGCCGCTCCGCGGCCGCCGACCGCACCGCGGCGGCCCAGCCGCCGAAGCAGGAGTGCACGGCAGAGCACCGCCGTGCGCGAAGGTGGACCTGCACCCGCTGCTGGGCGGCGCGGGCCCTGCACGCCGAGCGGCGCCACACCGCCGCGGCGCGGCCCTGCGAGGCTTTGCGCCAGTGGGCCGCCGCCAGGCCCACCAAACGGCGCTGGCGGCGGCGGCCAGCGGCGCAGCGGCGCCACTCGACCAGCTGGTGGACGGCGCGCCGGACCTGGCCAAGAGGGCACGCCTTCTCCTCCCAGGCAGGCTCCTCCCTCGTCCCTCGTCCCTCCTCCTCCTGCTCCTGGTCCTGCTCCCGCTTCTCCTCCTCCTCCTCCTTCTCCTCCTCCTCCGCCGCCGCCGCCACCGCCGCGGCCGCCACCGCCTCCACCTCCCCCTCCGCCACCGCCTCCGCCTCAACTTCGGCCCGTTCGCCCAGGTCTGGATCCAGCGGCCACCAGGGTCGCTGGACGCGTACACGCACTTGCCAAGAAAAGGTCTCCTCGGCGATGGGGAAGAAGTATGGGCAGCAGTTCGCCTGGTGCTCGTGCGGCAAGTGGAGCCACAATTGGCGCATCATTCAGAATGACTACACCTGCGTCTTCTGTGAGGAGACTCTCGACATCTACAAGACAGGGGCGGACAAGAGTGTCGTGCAGCAAAGGACAGGAGGGAAAGCGCCGTGGGCACGTGATCGTGACAAGATGGAGAGCACGACCTCGCCCAAGGCCCTCCTCGACCAGATGCCACCTGAGCTTCGAGGATCGCCTGCCGCCCAGGCACTTCAGCTCGAGATGGAGACACACGAGAAGATGCAACAAACGGCCAGGCAGCGCATGCTACGGTCCGACACGGAGTACGAGCAGGAGACCAGGAATCTTTCTCGGTTGGCGGCCAAGCATGCGGCAGCCCAGAAGCACCTGGAAGATTGCGAGCGAGGTTGGTCCACCTGGCGGAGAAGGAGCGCGATGCCGCCTATGCAGACTACCACGCGCTCAGAGGCACCGAGGCGAAAGTCAATCCCAACCTCGCCCCGGACGGCCTCACAGTTTTGTTTGCCGTCGATGAATCGCTATTCGACGACATTGAAGAGTGCGAGGAGCCCGCCAAGCAGAGTCTCTTGGAATAGAAAGCGGAGCTGGAAAACCATCGTCAGTCCCTCTTGGACGGCCAGAAGAGGTTCGAGACACTCTTGGCGGACGTCAAGAAGACGGTGGAGGCTGCAGCGAACGAGAAAAGGAAAGCAGCATCTGGAGAAGCAGTACCTGGCGGTGACGCTGCAGCAGCTGCAGCAGCTCCAGAGGCCGAGAAGGAAGCCGCCAAGCCAAGGTCAGATAAAGTCCTGGATGAAGAAGAGCAACGTGCGGCGGCTGAGAAGGTCAAGCAGGCAGCCCTCCTTGCGCAGGCGTCCACGGCAGCAGGTTCACCCTGCAGCTTCGAGGAGGCCGAGAAGAGGATGTCCAACAAGGGCGCTGGTAAGGCTACTGGCGCTGGCGTTGGCGGTGCTGCTACAGCTCACGTTTGACACAAAGTTCCTGTTCGGCAACATCACGCAGTGCGGACCCCAAACGGCCCGATAGATTCACAAGGTTAAGAATAGCTACAAAGCCATCGCTCTATCGGAAACGCATGTGGAAGATGAGCGCATCCCGTTGGAAAGAGAACTATTTCGCAAGGATGGGTGTAAGTTACCTGCCACACCAGCGTACCGCAAAAGATCTCATGTAGCATACTATGGATTCCGTCGGAAAAAAAAACAAGTCTAGACATTGGCAAGAAGGACCCGTTCCGTTGGTTTGCGCCGCTTGTCTGGCATATGCAGTCAGGAAATGTGTTGGTTAGTTCCGCCTACCCCCTTCCTGGCATGGGCATCGTGAGGAAGAAATGAGGACACGATGAAGGCGTTAGCAGGCTTCTTGCACATGGTCACAGACACATGGATTATCGTGGCTGACTGGAACATGTCTCCGCAGGACTTGATCGATTCGGAGTGGCCGAGCAAGATGAATTGCGAGCTCGCAGTCCCAGATGTGGCCATCACCTGCGACAAAGGCGCCAAAGGAGGTCTTTGTGATTACGCAATGGTCAAGAACGGTTTGCATAAACGAGCGTCGTTACATGCAGTTACTGATGTACCTTGGGCCACACATTGCGGCATTGAGGTTCGGCTCAAAGGTTGTGAACAAAAATGGTGGCACCAATCTCTCGCTCTTGTTCCTAGTCTTCCTGCTTATCATAAGCCTAAAGCCCAAGCAGCCAGCAGCAGGATAACGAAGAAAAAGCAGCAGCAAGAGCAAGCTCGTCGAGTTGCCTCTCTCCCACCGACGCTCCAGAACCCCATGATCGAGATGATGGAGGACATGGAGGAGGTCAAGGAGGAGGAGGTAGTCAGTTGTCACATCCAGAAGGAGGAATGGCAGGCAGGTTGGCACGCAGCTAAAGGCCTGATGGAAGAAGGTTTGGACTTCTCGAGGTTCCCTGTTCCAGAAACACAGATGTTGCGCCGCACTGAGGCTCGGAAGCTCGTTGATTTGCAGCACGGGTGTTGGATCACGGCCTTGGGAGAAACCATCCTGAATACATAAAAAGAAGAAAAGCGAGTCGGGAAGGGCAGACGCAATGGGTTTGCTCTAGAATGAAGTCCTCTAAGTCGTCGTCAGGCAGAGTTCACATTGAGGACCCAATGTCAGAGAACTGGAGTGTCATGGGCACCTTAGTCAGTAGATTCAGGAAGGTTGTAGCCACGCAGTTGGATTGGGATCGGCAGCGCACCCTCTCGAAGCGCATTGGCTTCCTGAGCTCAATTATTTTGGAAGGCTCTGTTGCAAATTATGTTGGAAGGATAGGCGAGCAGGATCACCGGCAATGGCAGGATATGGCATTGCAACTATATCGAGTCTCTGCAGCTGCTTGGAGGGAGGTCTACGAGCAGAACCTAACGCAGCTCAGGCAGGAGTGCAACGGCGTGCAGGAAGACAGCACCTTGGACCCAGGAGTGGCCAAGCTGATCAGCAGGATCCCGAGCTACCAGTGCTACCCGTACACCAATATGGCGTTTTGGACTTCTGCTGAAGAGTTGCAGGATGATATCATGTCCCATCAGAGTCAGGCTGTTCGCCTTGATAACACAATCCTGAGCTCCCTCCCAGGCGCCCCCAGGCCCAGGGCACTCTCACCAGGGCAGGGATCCTGGGGGTTCTGAGGAGCGCTGCCAGCGGCAGCATCAGAAGGATCTCGGGCACTCTGAGGGTCTGATCGAATCTCCCGATGAGGGAGCCTGTCTGGTGAATAGCGATGGTGAGCGACCAGCGGGCACAGCTGTCTCCATTGATTTCGTGCAGTCCGAACTAGACAGTAACATGGCGGTGGAGCAGCAGAATGCCCAGCCGACGTCGATGGATTTTCTTGATGAGTTGGAGGCGCTAACAGACAAGCTACAGAAGCGGGCCCAGGCAAGGGCGATCGGCAAGGGACAACAGAAGTACTTGACCTGGGCCCGCAAAGACGTGGATGCACAAGCCAGGCCAGTTGCACGAGCATGTCAAGGACAAGGCAGTCGACACGCAGGAGGTGCAGGGCATGGCGAGCCCGATCGACATTATGAGATCCAGGCAGCAGTACTGGCAACATATATGGACAGACAAGGTCGACACGATGCCTGCCATCATCAGCAGATTATCGCAATGTCATGCGCGGGCGCTTGATGAAGACTCAGAACCACTCACGCTCCATGCTTTGGACACAGCACTGGCTCGAATGCCAGCGAACAAGGCCAAAGGGGTGGACAACATCAGCGTCGACGACATTGCCAGGCTGCCGACAGGGGGACGGCGCAAGCTGGTGGAACTTCTCGGTGCCATCGAGCAAGCAGGTGCGTGGCCCAGGCAGCTGCACGCCACCGTTAGAGCGCGCTCTGCGCAGAGCCGCGCGGAGGCGACCGAGTGCCAGGTCGCTTGCCGACGACGGGGAAGAGGTGTGGAGCCAGGCCCGCTCGGGCCCCGCGACGGAGTGGTCGAGTGGGCTCAGTGCGTTCTCGGACACGGCACTCCAGGGCTCCTCGGCTCCAAGGGTGGCAACGGTGAGATCGCTCTCAGGCGAAGTTGGCTTCGCCAGCGACAGGCACTTTCTGACGCTGACGCTGGGCCTGCGGAAGTTCTACGACGGCGCCTCGCTATGCAGGTTATTAGAGATGGCAATAAGCGTTGGACATCCGTGTATCATCGTGCTGCTAGAGGTGGGGATGTGCATCGCGCCGCGGTTCCTCAAGTTCACGGACTGGGCGAGCGCCGCGGCGGTCGTCACGCAGTCGCTGGCCGCAGGCAGCCCGGAAGGAGTTCAGCTGGCGAAAGTAGATCTATATCGTATCCTTGAGCGCGTCCACCGCAGGGCGCCGAAGCCGATGCTCGCCACTTACATAGATGATGCGATCGCCAGGGCTGAAGATTATCATGATGATGAGGTCGCTGCGCAGATGATCACGGTGAGCGTTGAGTTCCAGCAGGCGCTGCAAGAGGCCAGGCTGGTAATCTCGGACAAGACAGATCTCATCGCCTTCTCCAAGCAGTTGGGGCAGCGTGTGGCCAGGTCCCTGAGGCAGCTAGGCATTCCTGTGCATTACACGTTGGCCACTACGAACCTGGGCATTGACGTGAGCTCAGGCAGATCGAGGGTTTGCAAGAAATCAAATCAACGTAAAATAGCAGCGGATAGACGATACGCGCGTGATCTCAGGCTACGCAGGCTTGGCCCCAGAGTTCGACGAGCTTGCAAAGGGTTATGGGCGACTGGGGTCAAGCCGCAGGGTATGTATGGGCACCAAGTCTTGGGGACACCACCGAGTCGGCTGCTACAGGCCAGGCGACAAGAGGCCTCGGCCATTGCAGGAGTGAAACGTGGCCGCTGTCTCACATTGGTGCTGGAGCTGACGATGGGCACCAAGGACACAGGCTTGGAGCTCCCTAGGCAGCTGATCTGGGAATGGCTCACGCTGTAGTTCCAACGGCCAGAGTTGCATTGTCCAATCAGCAATGCGTGGGATGCAGTATTACGGCGTGTATTGGTCCAGGGTGAAATTCGGTGTCGGCGAGTCGTGATTGTCGCATTGTGTGAAGGAGGTTAGACATGCCCTACCCCGTCACACTGGAATCGTAAGACTGATGAAGGCAGTATGTATTGGATTTCCCCTGAGCATGGCACGGAGGACTTCGGCCAGGTCGACATCACTCAGCTGGTAGATGAGTTCGCGTCCGACTTGAGAGCCTGCCTCTGGGAGAAGGCCTCCAAGTTCGAGGGCGCCGACGATTTGGTGCATGGTGCAGATTTCAGTCAGGTTTCCAGGGAGTTTCACAAGTACGAGCGAATGGACGACCTGGAGAATTGGGGCCTCACCCTCACGGTGGCGACAGGAGGCCAGTGGACACGAGAGCGTCAACGAGCACAAGGCTATGCGACGCAGTTGTTGTGCAGGCGCTGCCATCAGGCGCCTGAGACTTTATGCCACAGGATCTGGGAGTGCCTAGCGAACTGCGGGCATGTGGACTATGAGAAAAGTGACGCCCTCATCCCACGTGGTCTTGCTAGTTGCCAACTCGAGCCCAGTCTCTGGCTCCGAGGGGTCCCACCTGAAAAGCAAACGGTGCCGTCGCTCGATGACGAGTTGTGTTTGTCCCAGGGACTGCTTCTCATGGGGGACCCCTGGGCCGCGGTTGCCTGTCCTGGCCCAGGGGATTCAGTTGTCTTTTGCGATGGCTCTGGAGGACGGCTTTCTAGCGACCCCTGACGGCGGAGATGCGGTGCTGGCTTAGCCATCTTGGAACCCGTGGTGGGCCGACCGCCTGAGTGGTCCCTGAGTTGGGGTGCCTCTTCCCCGCTGGCTGGGGGGGGGGGGGGGGGAATGTCCCCAGGGCCGAGCTGCTCGCTTTTTGTGTGGCGCTATAGAGCTGACCTCAGGTGCGATCCAATACATAACTGCTCCCCCTCCGTGGTTCAAAGTCTTGGCAAAGCGGCCGATGCCGGCGGGCCGTTCCCAAGGGATCGACTCTTGATCTGTGGATCAGAATTCGAGCTGGTGTGTCCCGTCGTGGCGCACAGGTCACTGCTGTGTGGACAGCCTCCCACTGGAGGATGGGGAAGCAGGCATCCAGACGGCCCAGACGGCGGATGGTCTCGCGTCGCAAGCTGTTGAGCGCGGGTGGGCCTTGGCCACCGCCAGAGCTCCTGTCCCCCGCTCTGACGAGGTGGACGTGACTGCGTGGCTGGCTCGGAGACGTGCTCGTAGGGCTCTTCGGGATACGGCCGCGGTGGATCCGTGGGCTGGTGAGTGGATCGCTCCCCCTGCCCCTCGGCTCCGCCTCTTTCGTCGGAATCGTTTCCTCGCGGCTTCGACCCACTTGTCGGGAGCGGCCAAGAGGGGGGTGCCCAAGAGGCGGGGGTGCAAATCATGACCGGCGGCATGTGCGCGGCCCAGCGAGGGGGCCTGGGACGTAATGAAATAAGAAGAGGCGCCATGAAAACTGAGGAAAAATCATGGCCCGCGCCATCAAATCCACCCCCCCCTAGTCATCACCCCCCTCGTTTCCGCTCCCGAACTTGTTCGCCCGTTTGGTCGGAGGCAGGTGGCGATGCCAGGCCTGCGGGGAGCTCACGCCCAGCACGGCGCCGGAGCAGGCGTGCGCCCGCCCTCGTCTCTCCCCTCCTCCATCCCTGGCGGCGACTACAGTCGAGGCGTTGACCTAAGGAACCCTAAATAAGGAACGAGGCCCCTATTTTCCATAAGTTGAACCTCGATTTCGTATCGAAAACCTAAGGAAAATCCGAGGCAAGCTGCGAAACACTTAAGGAACACGGAGCCCCTCCCCAACGAAAAAGGTTCCTTCTTCAGGGCCCCGGCTGTGCGCCGAGTATGGCCGGGGTCTCGATCCGTCGTGTGTCGGGGAAGGTTTGGGCCAGCAACAGGAGAGGAGGCCCCGGCCACCAGGTTTGGAAGTGGAGTGCACAGAATGTGCTGTTCGAAGGATTGCAAAAAAAAACCTGAACGAAGGATTGCAAAAAAAACCCTTGAACGAACCCCTGGTTGTTTTGCAATCCTTCGTTTTTTGCAATCCTTCGTATGAGGTGTGGGCACACTGCCAGCACAGATGGCAGACACCTGGAGAGGGAGTGCCCACCGCTGCGGCCCAAGAAGGGGCACCCGAGCCTTGTGCCCATATCTCAGGGTCGCCGCCCATGTCCGCAAGGGTCTCCAGGGGCGACTCGGAGGGCACTGTAGTTCTGCGAGTGTCTGTTGTACTGGAGGCGTGGGCTCCAGTGGGCCGAGAGTGTTGCCTCGGCTGTGGTGCACTGGGACGAGGTCCCTCTCGGTTACTCCCTGGTTACTCCTCCTCCTCCTCCTCCTCCTCCTCCTCATCATCATCATCATCATCATCATCATCATCATCATCATCATCAGCATCATCATCATCATCAGCAGCAGCAGCATCAGCATCAGCATCAGCATCAGCATCAGCAGCATCAGCATCATCAGCAGCAGCATCATCGCATCATCAGCAGCAGCCGCATCATCAGCATCATCAGAATCATCAGCATTATCAGCAGCAGCAGCATCGTCATCATCATCAGCAGCATCTTCATCAGCAGCATCCGCATCATCACCATCATCATCAGCAGCATCAGCATCATCATCATCAGCAGCAGCATCATTATTATCATCGTCGTCGTGATCATCGGCATCATCATCGTCATCATCATCAGCATCATCATCAGCATCATTATCATCAGCATCATCATCAACATCATCGTCATCACAATCGTCATCAGCATCTTTTTCCTCCTACTCCTTGTCCTCCTCCTCCTTCTCCTCCTTCTCCTCATCCTCCTCCTCATCCTCCTCCTCCACACCCTCCTCCTCGAATAGTATGATTACTATGTGTGCTTCGATACAATGTGTTAGTCGTTTGAATGGTCGGATTGCTAGTCTCATGTATAGCACGTATATTAGTAGGGTTCCTACGAGCGATGTTGTTATCAGTAGTATGCGTTGTCGGATTATTCCGAATAGGACTAAGGATAGGATGGTTCGTCATGGTGCCTGCATGCTTCTCATACCCCTTATCCGTAAAAAGCAGCACGTGCATTCATATGATTCGTATATGCTTCGTGATACGAACATTAGTCGTATCAGTACTCCTCCTAATACTGATACTCATCATAGGTTCCTCTGCTCACTTGTACGATTTCCCTTTTTGATATTATGATTGAGTGCCCTCCTCCTCATCCTCCTCTTCCTCCTTCTCCTCCTCCTCCTCCTCCGCCTCCTTCTCCTCCTCCTCCTCCGCCGCCGCCGCCACCGCCGCTGCCGCCTCCGCCTCCGCCTCCCGCTCCGCCTCCGCCTCCGCCTCCTCCACATCATTCTCCTCCTCCTCCTCCTCCTCCTCCTCCTCCTCCTCCTCCTCCTCCTCCTTTGTCCAGAAAAGGGGTCGCACGGGCTATAATAGAGGCCTCCCAGGTGTGGCCAGAATAGATGGGGACGGAGGATCGCGCTGGCGGCTTGGAGAAAATCGTGCTCCACATCGTGCCGCATCGCCGATGCATCGGCGATGTGGCGCAATTATCCGATCCCATCTACTCGGACCCAATTTGGGAAGCCTGGATATAAGAGTCTACATGATCACAGGGAGCAGTGCCATAAGAGGCATGTGGCCCAGCAGGGTAAGGGCCATCGGTGCCCACGAGGGTCACGAAGAATCACTCGGGCCCCACGGACCCCGAAGGACACGAGGGCCATCACGCCCACAAGGGTCACGAGTCAAGAGGGCCACAAGGTTCATGGGAGGTACCCATGAAGGCCTGAAGGAGGCAAGGAGGCCAGAGGACGACGAGGCAGCGAAGAGCGCGGAGGCCGCCCAGCACGCAAAATCTTCACCGTGACGGGCCGGCACGACGACGATTCCCACAACCACGACAACCACGACAACCACGACGGCGGCGGCGGCGGTGGCGGTGGCTGTGGCGGCGGAAGCACACGGGTCAACCTTGGGACCCTTGGGTCCCAAGAGCGATCCGCGTGGCAGCGTGGCCGCGGCGGGCCTCGAGGCGTGACCGCGCCACGGCGGCGTGGACAGTGCGCGCGCGCTGGCAGGCCGTGGCCGCTGCCCACTGGCGCATCGAGGCGTGCGCCAAGGCATGGGCGAAGTGCCGCGACGCTGCCGAGCCGAGCAGCCGCAATCGCCAGCTCCACCGCCAGGCGACGACGGCGTGCGCCGCGGCCGCGCTGCGGCGCAGGCGGGAGACGTCACACGCGCGAAGGCCCGCCGCCGCCAGCGCGCGCCACGCCGCCAGGAGAGCACCCCGCCGGTGCCGGAGGCGCGAGGCCGCGAGGAGGCACGCGCGCCGCGCGGAGCGCCAGGCCAGCAGCCCGCCTCTGGCGCGCACCCCGCGGACGGCGCCCGAGCCGCGCGCGAGCTCCCGCCAGCGGCGCGCCCAGCCGCGCCAGGCGGCCAGGGCCCGGCGGCGCACGGCCGCCCAGGCGCTGTGGCCCGCCCAGGCGCGCAGGGCCGCGCGGAGCGCCGCCGTCGCCCAGGGCCCGCCGAGGGCCGCGCCCCGCCAGGCGCGGAGCAGCCGGCGCCGGGCCGCGGCCGCGCGCTCGAGCTCCAGCTCCGCCAGCCGCCGCAGGGCGCGGCGCCCCTGCTCGCGGCAGGCCGCCCACCCGCGCAGCGCACCCGCGAGGCGGGCCCTCCGCAGCCGCCGCGCCGCGGCCGCGGCGCCCGCCCAGCGCCGCAGCGCCGAGGAGCGCCGCACGCCGCAGGCGAGGAGGGTGCCGAGCTCGAACTGGAGGGCGCGGCGCACCCTGGCGCGCCAGCCTCTCGGGAGGCGCGAAAAACCGAAGGGGGCAGGGGCGGGGGGGGCGGCCTTCTGAGAGGGGGGGGGGGGGGGGGCCCTGTGCCCCGTTCTTGAGAGGATTCCTGGGAGGCAGCAGGGCCTCCTCGAGGCGGGATGCTTTCAGAAGGCCGCCCCCCTCGCCCCGCCCCCAGCCAAGATCCGCTCAGAAGCGGTCCCTGGACCCATCCCAGAGTCAAGCTCGGCCCGTTCCCCGAGCCGCGTCCAGCCGTGGCCACGAGGGGGCTCCCGATGGCCAAAAAGCAATCGTTCAAAAACAATACAGGGGTTGCTCCCACCCCGTACCCTGTTCCCCCAGGGATCTCGATCCCTCTCCTGGAGAAGGCTCTTTGTCCTGGGTGGTTTTTGACTGTCCTGCGGCTCAGAAGCGCTACTAGAGGCTGGAACTGTTCAAAAAAAATTAGCCTGGCAAAGGATCCAGCCATTTGCAGTTGCGAGTACCGTCGTTGTGAATATCGCACAATGAGCCCCAAGTAGGGCCCCAAGAGTGGCCAAAGAGGCCCCACAAGGGGGGGCCTCAGAGAGCCCCTAAGCTCAGGATAGCCTCCAACAGCCTCCAGCCGAACATGGCTCAAGATAGCCTCCAAGAGGCCTCAAGAGAGCAGGGATGGGCTGGTCGGGATGCGCGAGGCGTCAAGACTGGAATCCAGCTGTGGCGCCAGGGGCCCTCAGGAGGCCAAGAGGGGCGAAAGAATTCCGAAAACTGCATCCTCGACCGCCGCCTTTTCCAAACATGGGACGAGCACAAGGACATACTAGTACAATGGACCTTCGGTGGAGCTCCCGATGGGGGCACGAAACGTGTAAGGGGTGTGCAAGTGTGCGGGAATGGGTAGGGCGGCCGCATGCGGTACACCCCCCTGGGGCCTTTCTTAAGTGGATTTCCCTATGGAGCCACGAAGCGTGTGAGAGGTGTACCGAAATGGGTGGTGAGGCAGCATGTAATAGACCCCCCTGGGGTCTCAGGTGGGGCCCCCTATGGGGCCACGAAACGTGTGAGGGGTGTGCCGACATGGATGGGGCGGCAGCATGTGGTACACCTCCCCAGGGCCTTCGGTGGAACCCCTTATGGGACCACGAAACGTGTGAGTGGCTTGCCGAAATAGGTGGGGCGGCCGCATGTGGTAGACCCCCAAGGGGCATAGGTGGAGCTCCTTATGGGGCCACGAAACTTGTGAGGTGTGTGTGTGTGTGTGTCAAAATTGGTTTGGCGGCAGCATGTGGTACACCCTCCTGGGGCCTTAGGTGGAGCTCCCGATGGGGCTACAAAAACGTGCGAGGGTGTGCCGAAATGGGTGGGGCGGCTGCATTTTGGTACACCCCCATGAGGATTTCAGTGGAGCCCCCTATGGGGCCACGAAACGTGTGAGAGGTGTGCCGAAATGGGTGGCGCGGCCGCATGTGGTACACCGCCCTGGGGCCTCAGGTGGAGCCCCTTTTATGGGGCTATGAAACGTGTGAGGGGTGTGTCAGAATGGGCGGGGCGGCCGCATGTGCTACAGCTACCCAAGGCCTTCTGTGGAGCTCCCTATGGAGCCACGAAACGTGTGAGGGTCTGCCGCAATGGGTGGGGCGGCCGCATGTGGTACACCCCCTTGGGCCTCAGGTGGAGCCCCTTGTGGGGCCACGAAACGCTGTACTGGGTGTGCCGAACTGGTTCGCATGCGGAGAGCAGAGGTAAGGAGGGGGAGGAGGGAGGAGCGGGAGGAAGAAGGAAAGAAGGAGGCGCTGTCCCTTCAAGACTAAGGACCCAACACCCCAGGACAAGCAAAAAAACGTTCCTGGCAAAGGACTCAACCATTTGCAGTTGCGAGGACTATCGTTGTGGGTGTAGCCTTCGGTGAAGCCCCCTATGCGGCCACGAAACGTGTGAGGGGTGTGCTGACATGGATGGGGCGGCAGCATGTGGGCACCGCAACTGAGGTGTATTATGTGGAATTCCCATGGGGCCACGAAACGTGTGAGAGGTGTGTCGGAATGGACGGAGCGGCCGCATGTGGACACCGCCACTGGGGCTTTCGGTGAAGCTCCCTATGGGGCCACGAAAGGTGTGAGGTGTGTACCGAAATGAGCGGGGCGGCCGCATGCGGACAGCGCCTCTGGGGCCTTCGTTGGAGCCCCCTTATGGGCCACGAAACTTCTAGAGGGGTGCTCCGAAATGGGTGAGGCGGCAGCATGTGGACATAGCCGCTGGAGCCTAGGTGGAGCTCCCTACGGGGTCGCGAAACGAGTGAGAATGGCTCCGACATGCCGACATTGGTGTGGCGACCACATGTGGACATGGCCGCTGGGGCCTTAGATGGAGCTCGCTGTAGGGCCACGAAACGAATGAGGGGTGGGCCGAACTGGACATACGGAAAGCGGAGGCAGGGAGGGGAAAATGGAGCATGTCGGGCATGAATGCGCTCTGTGCAAGACGCGATCAAAGGATGTCACATCAGAAATTCGAGCACGGCCAGGGATGGTATTGCGAATCGGTTAGCCGGACTTGATGCAGCACCGGCTTGCGCGTTGTGCACCACGCCGCTCTCAGTGCCCACTTGCATGGTTGCCGAATCTTGCCGGGCACTCGAAGCTATCCCCGTGCATGTAATCAGGGATGCCGTTGACTATGTTATCCAGCTTGCCCTTCGATGGTCAGGACATCTACATGTGGTTATTCACAAAACTGCTCGCACCCAGTGGATGTACTCGTAGAGTGGGGCCGTGCAAGGACGACAGGTGCATGCACAAGTTAGCAACATTACACAAGTGTATGCACGCCTTATTGGACATGCGAGTATGTCGCTTCGGACCGTATTTCGTGCGCCAGCTGAAAGGTGCATAGATTGCCGGCCCTGCTTCCTCAACCTTCCTCCATGTGGTCCTGTCGGTACGAGAGCATCGATTTGACGCTGAAGGCCGGGCTGACCTTGTGCGCGCGTTCCCAGGCGCGCGTGCTGGGCCCAAGCGAGCTGACCAGTGTGCTTGTGCCAAATACGTTGATGACCTGGACCTCACATCCCGCTCTTTATGCCCCTGTTGCGTCCAGAAGGTGATGAGATCAGCAGATGCTAGGAAAGTTGAGTTCGGCATCGAGGAAAGCACCACTTTCGATTGACCACGTGTTCAACAAGTTCCTGTACCTCGGCATCCAGGTTGGTTGATCTTCCATCCACTTCACGATGCTCAATCCAAATGTCGACGACCTTCTGCCTGGACACGCTGAGCTGGTGAAGTTTCGTTTCCCACCGCCGGTTGGCAGGGGTGAACTTGTCGAAAGCCGATTGCAATGCAACATGTGCGGTCGGAGGGCCAGATGGAAACAGATACGTCTGGACGACCTACCAGACCACCCCAACCCAACCCGAAGACCCTAATTTCAGGTTGGGGGGGTACGGGGTCCATGTGTTTTCTCGGTGTCCCCCGACCCCCCCCCCTTGGAAATGGAGGGCAAATTGAGGCCTTCGGCAAGGGTTGGGGTGATTTGGTGGGTGGTGAGGTTTTGACTTGATTGAGCTATGGATTTTGGGATGCGAATATAGCACAATACTCAGCGCCTTATTGGCTCGCTTCGACGACCCGGTAGTCTCCCGTTGTCGATGCGTGTTGCGAGCAGTGAGAGGTACATGGCCAAGGAGGTGCACATCGATGCAACTGCGTCTGCCAAGTGTCCCGGCTCGGTTGATAAATGCAACTTTGCACCTATGTGGGATCGGACTCTGAATCGAACCTGGTTGGACTGAAGGCGCCGCAGACTGTCCCACACTCCATGGGATTGGATTGCATGCGAAATTCTACATTCAGACACTGTGACAACGACTGTATATCCACTGCCACTCTGGCTCTTTCAGTCTATGGTTCAGCATGTGATGAAGCCCCGCGCGAAAAGGGCGGCGCCGCTACAGCAGCAGAGGGTGTTCAAAGTCGGACGCGCCAGTTCAATCCATCAGGAGAAATACACGAGCTCTCATCTGCTTGTCTTCGCTTGCACGCGTTTGCTTTCAAACTACACGCGAATATTCAATTGCTCACGTTCTCACGCTTCTACAGGGAGGAGGGAGGAGGGGAGGAGGGCGGGAGGGGAGGTGACGCGGCGCGCTGTCTCCTCAAAACGAGGGTCCAACACCACACGATGGTTGGGAAAAACTTCACGTCGGGTTGCTCGAGGCGTCGGGGACCTGGGACTCGTCCTGTCCCTGGACCATCGACGTCAGCGTTCTATTATCCGTATCCCTGCTCACGCCTGAGCTCTACAAGGAGGCTGAGTGTCAAGTCAAGTCAGGCCAGGCGCCCGAACCGTGCATAGGCAACTTAGGCGGTTACGAGTACGCCAAACGCGTCTGCGATGCAGTCCGCCAAACGCGCTGCCATCTGAAGGAGAGGAAGAAAGAGGGAGGCAACTCGATTGGGATAATACGCGCTGGTATACGGAGGGTGCCCCCAAGAATTTGAAATAGATGTACCTTGCGGTGCAATGTGATGTTCGCGTGACTCCAACATTTTGCCAATGAATGGAATGGCGTTTTGCTCCTCCTATTATCCTGGCCACCTCTAACCTGCTGCCCACTCTCGCCCATAGCAATCCACCAAAATTCGCCGGCCCAACGGGCCAGAGGCGTGCTAAGATCTCCGGTAACTGGTTAACAATTCTCTACTTCGCGCGCGCGGGGCGGCCGCTGGGGGCCCCCGGACGAAAAGTACCCCGACCGACCCCCGGGCGATCCCCAGGAGACGCCCCCAGAGCGCTCCAGGAGCGCTCCATGAGCGCACCAACAGGGCTCCGAGACGTCCCCGAGAGCCCCAAGAAAGGCCAAGAGGCCCCCAAGAGGCCCCCAAGATGGTACACGAAGGGTCCGACATGCCACAAGGTCGCTCCAAGACGCCCAAGATAGCCCCCAGACGCCCCAAGAGGCCTCCAAGAGAACTCCCAAGAGGGCCCCCGGAGGCAAAATTCATTGTTTTTCCTTAGGTTTTTGAAAGA